ATAAGAGTTCAACTTTTGTTATATTACAGTGGAAGTATTACATTACTCTTGTAATATATAAGTCAGAGTGATTATACTCTTATAAAGTAAATAATTGGCTGAACAGCTGTTTATAATAAACTCATAAGTATCTCAAGTACTATCCAAAATATATGTACATTTATTCTCATCAGTTAACTGAGCATTTATAATAATAATATTTTAAATGTGATACTTATGATATAAATTATCTGTGATTACGTAATCAAGAACTGAAGATCGAGCGCATATAATGACGCACTTGTCCTCGTCACTTCTTTTCCTCCTACCTCCACCATCTCCCCAACCTCTTCCCCTAGCACTATGTCGTCGCTCTTGTTCTCTCCAGCCCAGTCCTCTGCCTACAAGCATCCTCCAGAAGGCACACTGCCTGTAACCACCTAGACAATAAGCATTGCTGCATTCGTCTCTCTAATCTGCCACTGCGATGCTTGTGCTGAGCCTCAGATCGTGTGACGACAAGACCCAGCTGGCTACACTGTCCTTCAGCGTAAAGCGTAAGCAGCCAGTCCCTTCATAATAGCTTGCACAATAGCTGCTCATCCCTCTCCTCCCAACTTTTTGTCTCCCTTCCATCCCTTCTGCTCCTTGCTCCGCCTCTTTCTCTGCCTCTCCTTCGTTGTCCTCCTTTTTTTCACGTTCCTCTTCCTTTTGGCATTCGCATTCGCGCTTCTGCATTGTTGACCAATGCCGAACGACTTCTTCAATAATTCCATGTATTCACGTTCTTCTTCCCGCTCTGCAGCGCAAGCAACAATCAATGAGCACATGCAAGCACGCTCGCAACAATGTCCATGTCGGATCACTCCCAAGGCACAATCCTCTCTCCGACCCCGTGCGTACTCTCCTTCCCCACCCACCATTCTATGCTTGACATCCTCGATGGACTCACACCGCGTGCCTTTACATTCCCCAGTGCCGTCCATGACACCATTTCGAATAACGGAAGCAGTAGCCACTGCTCACCCCTCCTGAGCCGAGTCCGTCCACACCTTGTACATTGCCTTCTCCCTTCAAGCCAGAACGTCCCGGAGATACACCTTGCAATCAATGACTCAGTTTACTGCACCTCCCATTGGACGCCGTAGATAGACAATAGAGCGCACGCGCACAGACACGATTTCGTCTGCAGTCCGAATCAGCTCGTCCAACGCTCCGTATCTCGATCTGCATGCACCACTCACACTCGCTGCACGCCGCCACGGTGCGTCCATCTTTTCTTGCTTGTTGCCACTTGCTAATCACCCTAAACCTGTCTCACAGACACAGCCTCACCCTTCACAATCTGCTCGACCTTACAACTCACACGCATACGCGATTCTACTTGCAGGGACTGAGCAACGATCAAGGCCTGGTGACGAAGACTACATCAAACAGCCCAAGAACGCATTAATCCTTTATTGACACGAACTCC